GCATGACACTTTCCAAGAGCAGTTGGTAATGAAAGCAGCGGCTTGCCATAACATGTATAGGTATGAGCGTTAACGACAAGTGTTCATCCACGCCATCGCCACGGGCGAAGCTGAGGGATGAAAGGATGAACTCCTGAACTGTGCGGCGATGCGGGCTCGTTATGCCCGATGCCGCTCGCAGACGCTACGTCGTAGAGCGATAATCACAAAGTAATACCGATAGCGTTCTCAACCTGCCGTGCTCCGCAACAGGGGTCCGGCTCAAGCAGCGGCGGGCCTGCCTTCGTCGATCTGGCACGGGATTTGATTGACAGCTTCGACGGCCTGCACGCCCAAGTCCCAATGGCCATGCATGATACCTACCTACAAGAACCACACGCAGCTCTTCGTACTACTACTAGCAGTGCCGATGGTCTACGGCTAGTAGACATAGAACGGTGCTTGTGCGGGCGTTGTAGATAGTAAGTCTATGGTAATGGCTGGTGGCGTAGGTAGGTCGGTATTTGCGTGCGTCCAAGAAGCACTTGCGAAGGCCTGGAGTCGGAAAGTCTGCCCCATGACAGACCTCGCGGGCGATGCGGAGCATGGTGAACAGAGACCGCATGCTGTTGGTGATTCGGAGAGGCCAACCCTGGCATTGGTCACACCGTCAGCTGTAGTAGCAACAATCCCAGACTCTTGAGTGATGAGGTGAGAAACATCAACAAGCGCCAATCCACTGCCGCCAGCTCGAGCGTGAGAAAAAACTCAAACGCACCGAGACGTAAGTATGAATCAGGTCTGCGGCTCGGTATCACTCCGTACTGTACGCAAACGCCTGTCGACGCAATTCGACCTCCACACTCGATGCTTCCACGAGCCTTGCACGTGGATTGGGCCAGGGACCTACGAGTCCATACGCCAGAAGAATATGAGACGCTAGTCTCTCTGACTCGACCCTGAAGCCGTTCGCTTGTGAAGAGCCAGGGAGTCGCCCCGCTGACAAGCAGGGGATCGTGTATTCCAGGCCGGGCCTCTGGCTCTTGACAGCCACAATGGGTTAATGTGAGCCCAAAGCCGGAAATAGGCTTGACGGGGGAATCAGAACAGGAAATGAAAAGAATCTAAGCGGGCGGGGCGGCGGTTTGGTCACCAAGTTATCTTTGTGAATGAACTGAGGCGATGTCGTCACTTCCCAGGGAGAGGAGTGATCTGCCAGGTACATGCAGGCAGTACATACAAGCTGATGGAGATGTGTGACGAAGGCCCTCTCGAGTTCGGCCCAGGCGTATCTTCGAAAGTTCTTACTCTGTGTGGTATCGTATGCCGGTGATATGGAGACTGTCGGCCGAGGAGGAAAGCTGCTCGGGCTGTCGGTCCAGAGGGCCTCCTTGATGATCAAACCGCAAAGTCAGGCAGGATAGTATTATCATGCTGGCGCACAGGGGTGAGCTTCTCCCCGCGTTAGCATGCATGATGTTGGAGAGCCACACCTTACTCGTACGAAGTACAGATCTCCAGACCTAGTGCGATATGCGTGTCAGAGCGCCAGGCCGCTGCCGCTGTTGACGAGTGAACCTAGAAGACTGGGGACAGGAGCGCTTGGTCAGATATCTCACTGCGATGAATCATAATTCAGACATGGAGACTGACATGTGAACTGATATGTTGATCAGGTGCCAAAAATTTCGCACACTGCTCGTGTGTGCTGACTGGTAGATGCTGGATTTGCTCGTTGATTCATGTATTGATCCAATATGACTGCACCGCAGTACCCTTCCATTCTCATGGGTAGGCAAAATATGAGACATAAGTCACGCTATATGCGGCTCAGTATTGCAGCAGTTGTCTCAGAGCATGGTTCGTGGCTGGGGGTGAGCCACATGAGTTCATGTACGGGCAAGGCTGGACAGCTGAAACAACGGGAGGGATAGCACTCTTCTTTCATAGTTTCGAAGCCAAGGGGGGGATAAAAGAAGAAGAAAAATCTTCTGAACGAACCCTTTGCCTTTAGGGCATTACTTCTTCGACCCGTAGCTTATTGTTGTATGTCCCCACCGCGAAATGCTGTTGCATGCATGTGGTTGGTGGCAGCAAGAGTTGGACGCATCTCCATCGTGACGGACTGCTATGTAATGACCGTAATGCATCCTAGACGTTACTCTGACCGACCTAAACGAGCGAGAATCACACTCACTAGCGGTGATTTAGCTGGAATTGATATCGACGCCGTGCGTGATTCTTATTTTTCCCCACTGCCTGTTGAAGGAGGAATTTGCACTTCGCACGGCGTACCAGAAGCACGGGACGTTCGAACTTGCGAATGGCGGCATTGCCATTCAATGTCTGCAGAGCCGATGAGACAGGAGTCGCAGGGAAACGAATGTTAGCAAGGACCACTTCCCATGTTGCACAAGGAAGGAGTAATACTCCGTATGATGTAGTAGTAGACATGATTTCAGGAGGTCGACAACGACGTCCAGTTTTCATACTTTGGGCCATGGCCTCCCTGCATCATCTTTCTGATAGTCTTCAGTGTGGCGCAGGGCTCTTTGCGTGGTGGTGTGGTCATCAGGGTTCGTGAACACTCCCTGGGCGCCCGCCGAGCCTGTGTAGGGAGAGCGTTAGTGACAGTAACTCGCACTTGTAAGACGGACCCTACTCAACCTGATGGATGCTCATCTATGACTGATAAACGGCAGGGAGCAGAGCAACTTGCAGTTGTCCAGGCAGACATCGCCGCGGTAAGTTGGCTGATTTGGGTCTCAGTCTTGACCGTTGTACCCGTCGCTTCGGGACACAATGACATCCAGTTGCTGGTGCTACGGAGAGCTCGAAAGCATGGGCCACATCCAACATCCACATACAGCCGGGGCCAGATTGTGTGATGCCGGAGGAGACGTCTGCATAACCCCTGCGTCCATCCCTGCCATGTCCTTGGCAGCCCACCAGAACCCCTGCAGATTGCCCTCCTAGCGCAGGCGCTTGACGGTTCCCCTGGTCCCCGGAGCCATCTTGCTAGGCCTTCTGTCACTTTGGCACCCTGGGCGAGGGACCTGGGCATCTGGCGATGTAGGCGGCAGCAGACATGTACGAGTACTTTCTGTACTCCGTATCTACCTAGGGGCGTGGATACGAGTTGACAGCCCACGCCTTGGAGGTGATGGAACAGACCAAAGGGGCGAGTGATTGGTGGCAAGGCGGAACAGAATTGGCTGGGTGGGTAGAACAAGTCCCAGCAAGCTGCTCGAACATCTCTCCAAGACGGTTGGCGCCAGATGTGGTCCAAGTCAATAACAGCAGCCTCCCCAGACGGCCGGGCGGGAGACGCCTGTCTGACTTTTCCCTCTCTCTCTTCTCTGAATCCCAGCCTGTGCCTTGCCTGGACTTTTTGCAACGGCAGTATCTGTGGGCTAGGACTCGATCACGAACACTTGTCGATAGGGGCGGGCCACGAAGAAGAAGCAGCCGCCAATCGAGCCCGTCAGCCAGCCGCCGCAATCTGCGAACCGTCAGACAAGCGCCAAGCGACAACCTGCATACCTGTACCAGTACCTACTATTACGAAGCGAAGTGCAGCAGTGCAAAGTAGCACAGCCGGACGACGCACGACGCACGACGCACGACGCACGACACAGGAACCATTGCGAGGCGTCTGGCGTGGGAGGAAGCGAAGAGGCCTGCGGATCACAAAAGGCTTCCAGGTTGAGTCGAGTCGAGTCGAGTCGAGTTCAGCCAAGTCCGAACGGAGTGACCGCTCGCTTCGCCGCTCCAGGCCCTTTCACCCCCCTTCTCCGGGCAGCAAGCACGCTGCCAGCCCCCGCCAAACCCCCCAAATCCCAGCGCCAGGGAGCGCCTGAACCCGCCAAGACTCCCCTGTTCGCGCCTCGGATCGCCGCTGTGCATAGGTGTCTGTCGACCTGGAGCGCATTCCGATTCCATCAGCATCCATTCAACTGAAGCCAGCCACCAGCACCAGATTCCCTCTGCTCTGCTCTTCTGTCCACGAACCGCTCGACACTCTCGGCTGACGCGCCGCACCCGCTGCACGCACCGACCCAACCGCAGCGATCGCAATTGATTGATCCTCGTGTAAGTCCACTCTCAGTCGGCTCCAGCGCCGGCCCTCAGCCCTGCCCTGTCCTGTCCTGTCCTGTCCTGCCGCTGTTCGCCTCCGCCTCATCCCCCATCAAAACCCCCAGCCCGTCAGCCAGCCTCCAAGCTCCAGCACGGCATGATTCCTGCGTAAGGCGGCGGTCGAGATCGCAGAGTGGCCCTTGGGTTGCTGCCCACCTCCGCCATTCCCGTCGCCATCGTTTGTGTTGTCACGGAAGCTGCCGGGCGAATGACTGTTGTTGTTCATTCCTCGGCTCCGCCTCCCACCTCCCACCACCTCCTTTCATTCCAGCACGGCCCGGCACCTGCTTCTCACAACATACTTGCGCTTGCAATCGAATCGACGATAGCTGATGCATTGCGTGTGCCTTGTTGACCGATGACGCAGGACATCCATCTGTCAGACACGATACTAAGCCGGAACGCCAGATCTGGAGATCAGCAGGAGCACTTCTCCGAGCTTGCTTACCTGGTACCTTACCTACCTACCCAGTACTTGTACAGCCTCTCTCCATCCTCCCGCCATCGCCTGGAGGTATCCAAGCCGTCGCAACCTGGGCCTCGCGCACGACAACGGCTCGACTGCTCAGCCAGATAGCCGCCAGTCGCCACTCGAGTCTCCTGTTGTTCTTTCCTCTTTGGCGCACTCGGCACGCCGAAAATCGCGAGCATCACCAGGCGCACCTTTTCCTTTTAGCCGCTCTGATTTACTCACCTTGCATTGCCCCCCCTCAACACGCAAAAGAAGACGACTACTCCTGCTCCTCACCGTTGGATATCTACTGAGCTTGCTCTGGGCCCTACACAAGAGTCCCAGTCGTACTGATCTCGTTTTGCCGGACCTGGGCCTCGAAGACTTGTCATCCGATGACCTGGAATAGCAACTAGCGTCCTTGGCCATCGCAATGCTGAGCGACAACCGCATGCGAGCGAGCCTGCAGGTGGCTCCCCTGGAGCTTACCAAGTCTCGACCTGAAGAGACAAACAATGGCTCTTCCTCACACGACCGGGCCCCCAAAGGCGAATCAAATCTGGACAGTTCAAACCCACGCTCGCACATAACACCGCCCGTTACTCCTCAAGGCTCACAGGAGGATCTCAGTTCTCGACCCGAGTCTCATATACCGCCCATCTTCCACAATTTCCTCCGCGCCTTTTACCCGTTTCACCCGACTCTCGCAATGTCCGATTCAAGCGTCACCCTGCCACTGGATGAAGGAGATGTTGTTTTAGTACACTCGATCCACACCAATGGTTGGGCAGATGGAACGCTGCTGGCTTCCGGCGCAAGAGGATGGCTTCCGACCAACTACTGCGAGGCATACGAGCCCGAGGAAATGCGGAATCTCCTGAAAGCATTGCTCAACTTCTGGGATCTGCTGCGGATCACAACCATTGACGAGGGACACATGTTTCAGAGTCAGGAGTTTATGAAGGGCCTCATTGGCGGAGTGCGATATCTGCTGGCAAGTCCTCCTGCCACTCATCATTTGCAGCTTTGGTTCGAAATGATGCAGTACTGACGTGTTCGGTTTAGGAGCGCACCCAGTGCTTAAATCGAGAGTCTATTCTCATTCAGCGATGCGACGCTCTGCGCAGGTGCCGTAAATCACTTCTTTCAGAGCTCTCCTCGCTCGTCAAGACGTCAAAGCAGCTCCAGGACCTCCAACTAGTGGCGTTGGACTTCCCCGAAGAGATCAACGACGTTGTTGACCAGATGATATTAAAAGCATTCAAGATAATCACCAAGGGTGTTCGGTTCCTCGATGTTTTGGACGATAACAGGCGGACTCACTCTGCTTCGCTTGCAACCGAAACTTTGCCCCCCGTTATTGAGGAGACGTGTGTTCCTCCTACACCTCCCGCAGATAGGGCAGCATTTGGCGAGGCGACACCAGCTGTGACGGATGGCCGTGCTTCTGCCAGCGCAGCTGCCGGGGATGCTGCTTCTCGTGCATCTGGTGAGACCAGTACCGTTGTTCGACCAGGGCAAAGCAACCGCTGGAGCAAGCGATTATCGTCCCTGACCGCGCAGGCTGCTGGCCCTCATTCACGTCCACACTCCCAAGCCAGCGTGAACCGCCTCTCCACGAGCATGGCTCACAGATTGTCACTGGCTGGACCATCTCCGCTTTCTCGCCCCCATCACCTGGTGTCTGAGCGTCTAAGTAAAAGTCACGACAAGTTTCTTTCGCATCTTGGCTCGTTCATTGGTCGTTTGCATCTCCAGTCTCAGTCACGACCGGAGCTTGCAACTGCCATCAAGCAATCCGCCATTTCTGGTGGAGAACTCCTGGCGGTCGTGGATGCAGTTTGTGCGCAAGGCAGCTCCATGATTGGCCCACTGGGCATGTCACGGGAGGCCTTGCTTGAGCGTATCCGGGACCTGGTGTTTGCTGCTCGAGATACTCTGGCGAATGCGGAAATGGAGGGGGCCGATATAATTCTGCCGCAGGACAATACCCTCATGCTCATGTCCGCGACAGGTTGTGTGAGAGCAGCTGGCGAATGCGTTGCATTGACAAAGGGTGTGATCGAGAGAACGGGGGATTTCGAGCTCGAGTCTGCTGGCAATGCTCTTCAGCTAGACCTCAGCGTTCTGGATGCCACGGCGACAAGATCAAGGACACCATCGGTTGCAGAGAGGTCCGACGTTGCCAGCATCACCGGCTCTGCCCACACCGCAGAGTCGATGAGCTCTTCCACTAGGCGGCCAAGCGTCGTAGCACTTGATAAGCCTCTACCCCGAGTCCCCGAAAGCCAGCCTGACGAAGCAACAACCCCCCAGGCCCAATCTCCCAAGACGTCTCGGCCTTCTTCGGTGGCGGAAGGAGCTGTATCCAGCCCAGCATCCTCTGCTACATCCGTTGGCCGAACGCTCCCACCGTTGCCCCGACTTACTACCACTCCCATGCCCTACCAGAGTGCAGAGGACAGCGGTTCTGCCCGTGCGCAGGATCCCCATTCCTCTTTCGATAGCATGGCTGGCTCTAGTGCTGGCAGCAGCACGACCTACATGAGTAGGGATTCAGAGGTCAGCCTCGTGTCCCAGACCTCAACACGCGCCACTACCCCTGATCATACAACAGTCCCTTCAGCAGCCCCCCGTAGCCAACCTTCCATCTCCGAGTTGAGCGCTACGGGAAGCGCTCATTCTACTCACGACGAGGATGCCGACGATGTCGAGTCCAAAATACTGATGAAGACATATGCGCATGAGCTCATATTCAACAAAGAAGGCCAAGTGACGGGCGGCACACTGCCGGCACTGGTCGAGCGCTTAACGACGCATGAGGCCACCCCTGATGCGACATTCGTCTCAACCTTCTACCTGACCTTTAGGCTATTCTGCACGCCCGTGCAGTTGACGGAGGCGCTCATCGACCGATTCGAATACGCGGCAGAATCACCCAAAACGTCAAGTCCTGTCCGTCTGCGGGTATATAATGCCTTCAAGGGCTGGCTTGAGTCGCATTGGCGTGACCAGGCGGACCGTGACGCGCTCAAGCTCATTATCCCCTTTGCAGAGGAGCGCCTCAACGCCGTACTGCCATCTGCCGGCACCCGTTTGTTGGAATTAGCGAACCGCGTTTCTGGGGAGGGCGCGCTGGTGCCTCGGCATGTGTCCTCCATGGGCAAGGCCAACACGGCTATCGGCCAATATGTACCGGCAGAATTGCCACTTCCATCTCCCATCCTCTCCAAGGGTCAGCTGAACGCGCTGCACTCCTTCAAGGCTGGCAGCGCTGCACCCACCATACTTGACTTTGACCCGCTGGAGCTCGCTCGGCAGTTGACTATCATGCAGATGAACATCTTCTGCTCCATCCTGCCCGAGGAGCTCTTGGCTTCTCAGTGGATGAAGAAGGGTGGAGTGGATGCTCCCAATGTCAAGGCGATGTCTTCATTATCCACAGACTTGTCCAACATGGTTGCCGAGACCATCCTCCAGCATACCGAGCTCAAAAAGCGTGCGGCCGTCATCAAGCAGTGGATCAAGATTGCACAGCAGTTCCTGGAGCTACACAACTACGATGGCCTGATGGCCATTATCTGCACGCTCAACAGCAGCACCATCACTCGCCTGCGCAAGACTTGGGATGCGATATCACAGAGGCGGAAGGACGCTCTCCGCAGCTTACAGGACATTGTGGAACCGTCGCAGAACAACAAGGTCCTTCGCACCAAACTGCATGACCATGTCCCCCCTTGCCTGCCATTCCTTGGCATGTACCTGACTGACTTGACTTTTGTTGACATTGGCAATCCGTCGACGAAGCAAGTCTCGCTAGGCAGCGAATCCGAGGAAGACGGTGCAGGAGGTTTAACAGTCGTCAATTTTGACAAGCATACGCGGACAGCCAAGATTATCGGCGAGCTTCAGCGATTTCAGATCCCTTATCGGCTGACGGAGCTGCCTGAAATGCAGGAGTGGCTGTCCGCGCAGTTTCAGCTCATCCGCGAAGGGGACCATGGCAATGTCCAAGTGACATACTACCGCAAGAGTCTTTTGCTTGAGCCTCGCGAAACGGCGGCGGCGAGACGGGACTCCGAGACTCCGGCCGGAGCTGCGACGGCATCAACACCATCTGCCCGAACAGATCTCTTCGGCTGGATGACGCGAAGTGGCCAGAGTTCCACACCAACACAGCCATGAAGGAATCAAGAGCTGCTGGCTCATAAACTGCCTCCCGTCTAGACGACTCTCGATTTGGGCATTGAAATCTCGAAACCTCACATACCTGCCTCTACGCACATATACATTGCTAACTACATTTGATTTCGATACCCCGTCATTGTTTCTGGTTATGTTCTGTTTCACCCGGGAGGGCAGGCACTCCTGAATGGACGCTCCGATCGGCATTACGACGCTTATTCATCTGAGCAAATATTATTCTTTCGCCGCGGTGGAAACTTCAGACCAAAGGAGTCCTGATAACGCCATTAAGGGCTTTGTCAAAGAGGATGACATCTCTGGATGTGTCTGTTTTCCTTCATCTCGAAGACGAGGGTTGTTGATTGGTGGGAGTCCTGGGAGGTGTTTTGCTTCGTCGCTCTCAGCTCCTCTCGCTGCATGTTGTAATTTTGGTTCTCTTTCTCTTATTCTCTTGTGGGTGGGTTGTGGTGGCGGCAACGGAGTTTGCGAATTTGCTTTCGTCTTCATTTATCGGGGAAATTGGGCGTTGGAACATAAAAGGGCTTGATACGGATCGGGTCCGAGTGATTGAGATGATAATGATCTGTCCTTTTTCTGCGAGTTATTGGGAAGAAGGGCAAAACGCATACCTGTCAAGCGGTCACGGGGGCGTCACGATGGGATGAGGTGGGCTGCGGGCATGAACGGTTTTGCGTACATGGAGTTAGAATCTGTACCGGATGGCATATTACACCATGGTAGAGTGAAGAGACACAAGATTTGAATCCACGTTGATGAACAAAGAGATCAGAGGAGTGATGTTAACGAGTAGCCTCGAGTCGCGATCGCATATCGGCGCTTAAAGCAAGCACGTGCCACGAGGGACGAGGCAAGCAGCGCTGAGATGGCGACGCACATGGATGTAACCCCCGTGCACGTGGCGGACATGGCAAACGCATGGCATGTACAGACGGAGCTGGAGATGGTGGGATGGGACATACAGAGAGCCATGGAGATGGAAATACAAACACGTCGAATGGCTTGATCACATGGTTAGCCTTGCGCGAGTCGCCGGGATGCTGGAGCACCTAGTACCGTTCGACCCTCGGAATCAGATGTCATGTACGGAGGACGAACTCTGCCCCGTACGAATAACGGGCAGAGCAGACGCCGGGAGAAGGGAATCCAACGTGTGAGACGAGCCGAGTTGGGAGGGTTAGGGAGGGTTAGGTAACGTGTTGGATCTGCTGGTGGGACCTGGGATTGTTGCTTCGTTTTGTGAACAGGCGGTTGGAAGTTTGATAAGGAGTTGGGAAAGGGACGGGACTGACTTGGAAATAATGTGCGGGTAGACAGATGGATGGATAGATACGAACAAGCAGAATGTCATTACTGGGGGCTTCAGCTGAAGATGAAGAACAAAGGCTGCGAAAGTGATACTAGGTATGTACTAACTTGTCTTTGATTGCACGGCTTGATGTTAGAATGACGATGTTCTCGTACTGACGGGAGGTACATACTACACTACTGGAGCTGACGGGAGTGGTGGCATGTCTTGGGTGGCTTGTAGAAGCTGGAAAGTCGTTGGTCTTTGTTGAGGAGGCGGATGTAACATTTCTTCAAGGGACCAGGGACTATGGAGTAGATCCATGCTGGTGCCGAGCTTCTGAGAAGCTCAGATAAGTCGGCGGCTACCGAGGACTCCGGCTGGAACGCCTGGTCGACTATCTGGGCTACCGTACTTGACACACCTACTACTGCCTAGATACTAGATAGCTATCTTAGGTAGCATTACTTTGATCAGCCATGGGGCTACATACCATATGATAAGGGTGTCAAGCGCGTGCGTGTTGCGTACATCTAGGTATTATAGGTTTGTTTGGATGTAGAATCTAGCTTTGCTTGGCTCTCGGAGATGCACGCTGGGGATCCGGATGGTGGGTTGTGAGGTGGGTATGGGCGGCTAGTCGGATCCTGGGAGCAGCCTGCAATGATACATACAGTAGATTGCTGCCCGAAATGAAGCAGCAAGATTATCCGGCTGGACATGGAAGTTGGTTGTGATAAGGCGTGTTGAGATACTGCTGATACGATATATCGGGTGCGGTTGGCGATGGCCAGTGGAGGGCTTCTTGCACGCTCTGCGGGAGTCTTGAGTGACGCTCACACAGCTACTCGTACTATTACTCCATACAATGGCCGGTATAGGTACTTTCTCCGTATCGAGGTACTACATAGATTTGACACTGTTTATGGGGGGAGAGCTGGGGCCCCGCGAAAGCATGGAGAGTGGAGAGGCCTGCAATCAAACGTTCGGCGGCCCCAAGGTCTTGGATTGAGAATCGTAATGGTGGTAGCGTGGACGGTACAAGACGCTGTCACGGGCCAGACTTGGGTGCCCAACATGAGGGGGAGCGGCGAACTCTGCCTGCATGCCTTGCTCTTGTATGTACATGTATACTACTAGTCATATTACTATACGATAGTATATCTGTAACATTGGGCATGTCCTGTCACTGGCAATCACCGGCAAGCAGGCAGGGGGAAAGCCTCTAGCGCTCGCTCGTGGGTCGAGCTGAGGCTAGACTCTGATCGAATAACAAGAGACAGGCGAGATCGCAAAGAGCCCACCAAGACGTGTTGAGGTTGTTACGGATCACCAAGTTCTGGAGTCAGAATCCCATGCAGTTAGTCAGCTGAGCCGGGCAAGGCTCCCTCACCCCTGTTGACTGGTTCCCGCTAGCAGTAGCAGCAAGGCTCAAAGCGTCTTGAGCATCCGAGGGGACGAGGGAACGTTACATGGACAGCCTAGGCCCGATCCGGAGCGTCTCTAGAAGCAAGTGACAAGAAATGGAAGAGAACGACGAGACGGCCTCTCGTTCGCGTCTGTGGCTGCTGGCAACGGCGCTCGGCTTCTCGCAGGCGGGTGACCTGTAGCGCCTGGGCAAGCGTCCTTGTGGCGGCGCCGGTGCGATCGAGAGAAGCGCTCGAGGAAGGTATTCAGAGGTGAGGCCTTGGGGGCTAACGGTGAATGGCAGAGGTTCTCGCGGATCTTGTATTTTTTCCAGTAAATAGTAAGTGCATGTGCTGGGCAGAGAGAACAATACGATATCTTGAGATTATTGATTGTGGTGTTGTGCGTGCGGAATCGAGGTTCGGTCGCTTGCAAGGTGAAAGCCCTTGATAACCGAAGAAGAAGCGACAGCCCTGAAGCAGCCCTCGGAATCCATCTTGTGCTAACAGACTCCTTCCTTATCTACCAGAAGTGCCATGTATTATTACTTACTTGCCTTTTCCCACCCTCCATGCCGAAGCGCGCCCCGCCCCGGACCTTTTACCCTCCTCGGGCGCAGCTCTCTCACGGCACATCTTTGAGGATTCTGGACAGACGGTTGAACGGGGCCACTGAGAGCACAAGACAGGGGTCGCGGGCCATGCAGCCGCCAATGCGCTTCTGGGGGGGGCGGTGGCGGACGCCTCGATCTGGGTCGGGCTTTCACAAGGACCAACCAGCGGCCGGGGCCATTCGGGCCTTCACCCGCGAGCTGACAAGTTGCCCACGCTTTTGCTCGCGGCCAGGGGGCCAGGATTGGGGGATTTACTGGCCGTCGACAGTTGCTTCCCCGGAAACATTTGTCTGTCAGTCTGTCTGATGACTTGAACAGCCGCCCCCAGTTCCGCTTCTGATATGACTTGTGCTCTTATAGGACGGAATAGAAGTGCGATACGAAGCGCAGCCTGCGATACGGCAGCGTGGCGTGCCTGCGAGGAGGGCCAGGGTTGATACTATCGCTATCGACACCGTTCCTTTGGGTGCAACAGTCGTGGATATGGTGACGAGCGAGTAGGTAGGTAACTGGTAGGTAGCTTTCTGACTCTCGGCTGGGTGCAGAGGAACAATTCGAGCATTGGACAACAACCATGAGACAAACGCTCTTTGTTCGGGACGGCACTATCCCAACTGAACTGCGACGCCACCAGAGCTGCCGATAGCCATGCCACCACACCCACAGACATACATACCTACATACGGGGAGGACGCCTCAAGTACATACATACGCTCCCTTGCTCGGGCTCTACCCCAAGAAGCGAAGGCCAGCCTCCATCTGCTGCTAGGACGTATTGGTCACAAGGCCGTCCATTCGCGGAATCACAACCTCACTGCAGGAAGGCAATATCAGCCGCGACATGGGGTTGCATCGCTGCTTGGCCAATGTACGCTGCCCACGCCTCTGTCGAGGCCAACGCAGGTGTCCAGTCGCAGTCAGGGAGGTGTCGAAAGGAAGCCATCGCTATCAGTCACCTCCCCCCCTGTGTTCGCCTCCACGCGAGAGTTGTGCTCATGCTGACACACACCTCGCCAGGATTGCATCCCATCTGCCTACCGAGCTGCAACCAGCATGTCTCTGCTCTCCAACACGGAAAATAATCCCATTTATGATACGAATATTTGCATCTTCTCACGAAAATCGACTCAACCGCCTTTCATCAGAGTCGCGTGCTGCTTGCGGCGGCATAGCCGAGTGGCGCTGCTCCACCTCACGGATCCTCGCTCATCAAAAATAAAGCGTGGCGTGGCTAGACCCCGGTCTCGTTCTTATTTTCCCCTCTATTCTGCTTTATCAATTACATTCCTTTTTCGTCTGGTGACGGCCGACTCTTGGGGTTGTTCCGCCTGAGATATGGAGTGGACATGGCCGCCTTGCTCGCCTTGCCTAGCCGTCGCTTCGCATCATGCCATCTGTCTGCTGTCAGAAGCAGCGTGTGCTCACAAAATCGAATGCCCTATCTTGATAGCATCAGCCATCCCGTTACACCTACAATTTCTTCCGAAATCGGGAGAAAAAGAGGACGTCTATTCTTAGCAAGTGTGTCGTGTTGTGTGTCGCTCAAACCACACACCACATGCCAGTCATACCTCTGTCTCGTATCTGGCTGGCAGCTCCGTTGCTCTGGCAAAAAGAAGCTTGTTGTTGCCGTTGTTGGCAATGGCAGGCCTGGTCATGCCCTCTTTTCCTGTC